GGGAGGGAGGGGGGAGGGGTGCTACCTACGGGGCTGTCCGTCCCAATAGGGACGGAAAGCAGGGGTGGGGCTTGAGTGCAGAGGGCGGAAGGACACCAGTGATGTTTATGGATCGGGGCCGGGCGCAAGGCTCAAGCGCGGCAGGCAACCGCCGGACGCTTGGCCGCTGGAGGGGCGCTGCGTCAGGCCGCGTAGAGGGCCGGCGGCCCCGCGGCTGTTTCGCATGCAACGCGGCGACAGACACGGCGAACAATCACAGCCTCTCGCCACCCACCAAGCTCCCGGACCGGGTCCCGAGCCGACGCCAAAGCCCGGCCCCGCCGCCTATTGTCACCCGGTGACGTCATCAGGTGACGCTGGTGGTGAACTACGATGTCCCCGTGGAGCGGGACGGCCTGACGCCGGCGTACGACACGTACCTCCACCGCATCGGGCGCAGCGGGCGGTTCGGGCGCAGGGGGGCGGCGTTCAACCTGGTCTACGGGCAGCAGGTGGGTTGAGGGTTTGGGGTTGACGGTTTAGGGGGGGTCAGGGGTGGGGCGCGAGTTTTACCGGGGCTCCTGTGCGGGCCGGATGGACGATCATTTGGCGTACGCGCTGGATGATTGTCGTGGAGTGCGCATGCATGTGGCTCCCTTTTCGACTCAGTGGCGGACAAAGGGGCTGCGGTGCTGCAATTGTGCTGCCGGTTGCTGCCAGCCACTGCAGTGTGTGATGACCAATCACCTTGGGACCGGCTCCAACTGTGTTGAGGCACCCTGTTTGTACAGTAACCTCTGAGCCCCAACCTGGTGCCACGCGGCGCCGAAAGAAGTTTCTTTCGACCCAAAATCCACCCGCCCACCAGTCCATCATGCGGCCCTCGTCGCTTTCCCCCCACGGCCCCTGACAGCGGAGCGAGTCGGCGGCCTCCGGCGGCCTCGTGGGGCCCCGTTGCCCTCCCTCTGTCATTTCCACCATCCCCCCGCCCTTGATCATCAACGAGTCCCCCCACCTGCCAGACACCCCCCCTCCGCCCCCCAACACAATGATCCTGCACCCCTGTTGCCTCGCACACGACACTGCAGGACTTCCTTTTGATCTGCCAGATCGCGGAGTACTTCAACAGGGCCATACCTGAGGTGCCCCACTCTGACGAGGACGCGTTCATAATGGTGGGGCTGGGGCCGGGCGGCGGGCCCAGGGCGTTGGGGCAGGGTTGACGGCAGGTGGCGGGCCGCGGGCGTGGCAGGTGAGGGTGAGGGCAGGTGGCGGGCCCCGGGGG